TCTTTGTTGTACTTGTCTGCAAAATGCAATGAAGTTCTGTAAATCGTGTAATTTTATGCACATCATTTGTACATTTACATTAAAATTAGTTGGTTTTGTTTCATATTGCATATTCAATAACATGAGGGTAATGGTTTCTTCTTGGCTTTCCTTCCCCAAAAGATTGTTGCATGACATCCAATCCAAAGGTACCTCTGGCCTCTGTTGCCAAGAAGGTGCTTAACTGAATTGTGAAAAGTTTTCACAATTTGTTTTCTTCCCTGCCCCACATAACCCAGCTGAGATTGGCAAATGCACAAGATTAAGTGCAAAAATCAATCCATTTGAAAGTCAACTCAAACTTTCCAACAACTTGTATTTATATAGCACACACGGATAGTGTTTTGGAGCATTTAACAGTGGCGGAGTTTGACACTGAATCAGGGAGAGAGGGGAGCTGACTGTAGGCACGGTCCAAGAGGTCTATAGATGTGTTCTGAAGATGGGCAAGGAGGGAGCAAGGTGGTGGAATTGAGGCAGAGTTACACAGTCTCATGGGGCAATGGACGGCTGCTGATGGGGGAGCAGAGGGGACAAGGGACGTACAGGAGGCCGGAGCCAGCAGAGCGAAAGTTGCAAGTATGTGTGGGTGTAATCAGAAAGGTAAGGAGCTGCCAGGACATGAAGTGATTTGTACGTGAGTGTGAATATCTTAAAATCAATCTCTTCTGAAATAGGGAGCCAGTGGAATTTGGCAAGGATGGGGTGATGGGGGTACGGAGTTTAATACAAGTGAAGATACAAGCAGTGAAGTTGTGAATTAATTGGATTTTATGAATGGTGGAGTTGGGGAGGCCAGCGAGGAAAGCAATGGAAAAATCAAAGCAGGAGGTGATGAATGTGTGGATAGAGGTTTCAGCCTCATTGGGTGCAAGGTATAGTTGGAGACGGGCGATATGGCAAAGGTGGAGGAAAGTGTTCCTGGTCAGGGACCAGATGAGGGATAGGAAGTTCAGCTGTGTTCAAATCTGGAGCTAAGGTTGCGCACAAGTTAAGTGAGTCTGATCAATGATAATAAATTCTTGCATTTGATATAGCACCTTGTCAGGTCTTCAAGAAGTCTCAAAGGACAGGTGGGGGAGGTTAGAGTCCAAAGCCAAACTATTGCAACTTATTTTAAATAAAATTCCATTGATTTAACGGTAGAAACAATTAATGATGAAAGAGACTGTTGCATAAAAGCTTACCATGACGATTCTCAAGTAAATCTCTTATATTGAACCTTAAAACTGGAGAATAACCTGAAGGAATCTTTAAAGCTGCATGCAAAATCTTTTGCCTCATATTACACAAGAGAAAACAACAACAAAATTATATTTATATAGCGTCTTTCACATCAGATGTCCCAAGGCAGTCAGCTTTTCGGACCCGAGCTGGGGGTTGGGGAGGGTGGAGGGCAGGCGCGGAAGGAGGGTGATCGAAGGCACGATCGAAGAGGAGGGTCTTGAGATGGGTCTTGAAGGAGGCAAGGGAGGTGGAGGGACTGCGGGATGGAGTTCCAGAGGGTGGGGGTAGAGTGCCTGAAGGCCTGCCTGCCAAAGGTGGGGCGGGCAAGGCGGGGGACGTGAAGCACGCTGAAGGAGGGAGCGGGCAGGTTGGGGGAGATAAAGGTTGAGGGGGTTAAGAAGTTGTAGAGATAGGGGGGAGCAAGGCCATGCAGGACTTTGAAGGTGAGGACCAGGTTCTTGAACTGTATCTTCTTTGTGATGGGAAACCAGTGTAGTCGGGGGAGGATGGGGGTGATAGGGTCGCAGAGCCTGGTGCGGGAAAGGACATGGGCCTCAGAGTTCTGGATGATCTGCAGCCTATGAAGGGACGAGTTGGGGAAGCTGACAAGCAGGGAGTTTGCGAAGTCAAGCCTGGATGTTATGAAAGAATGTAATGTATGAGGGTCTTGGCAGCCTGCGGTGTGGGACAGTGGCAGAGCCGGGTGATGTAGCAGAGAGCACAAATACAAGAATTGATAAATTTAAATTTGTTTCAAGCAGAACGCAATTCTGAGTTTATTGCCTGAGTCTGCCCGTCTGTCAATTACATCAAACTGAAACTGACAGAACATCAGAAATAAAGCATAACTGACATTATCCCAGCTGGCAGAGTAAGCAGAAATAATTTGCTGTTGGGAGTACAAATTCTGTTTAATAAAACTAACTGAACTGATATCGTCTGTGAGAGAAGGCAGTCAAATACATCAGTGAAAGTTTTACTACTGCCATTCTTATAAAATCTTTGTGAAAACAAGCTGCTTATTATTTGTCAATAATGAGATGAAAAAGTATTAGAAGAACTGCCTATGGAAAATGGATTACAGGACCTTTTGTTCATGCTTAAGGCAGTGCCATAGAATAGTAAATATGTATTTAAAATGTTACAATATCTGTACTTGATTTATTTTGCAAACATTTCTAAAGATGGATATGAACATTATATTCTGATTTTACAATGGCTCCTCAACCGTGGGAAACTAAGCAAAGTTGCCCTTTTCTTGTGATTTGTTGCATTAGAAACACCCAGAAGCACACATTAAGATAATGAGAGAATCTGCACTGGCAAAGTGATTCTTAGCATCTCCATCTAGAAAAACAAAGCAAGATTTCATACTATCTTTTCTCACTAATTACCAAAATTTTAAAATAAAATAAGTCAAAATCTTATTTCCACATCAAGCTGCCTCACAGAAGGCATTACGCAAGACTAGAATTCCAGTATTCCATTTCAGCTGCATTTCCTCTGTACACCCGCATTTTTCCTTAGGACAGCTTTCATCCTGGGTTCATCAGTATAAAGGCTTCAGTTCTTTTCATATTCATGTCAAGTTAATTAAATGAAAGGTATGGTTTAATGCAAACTTGCTCCAGTCAAAATAAGAAAGATACATGCAGAGAAGCACTGGAGAGCAACTGTCTTTACATGGCCACAAAGATTGCTTTAAACTAAGGTGTGTGCTAATATTCATCATGGCAGAGATAATCAGCCCTAATACTGTAGTTGATTTGTACCTTCATGCCTACCATGAACATTGACTTTGCTTTCCTTTTATGAGGACACTTTTTACATGTGTTGATCAACTGACACTTGAAACCTAGAAATGAATCTCTCTGTGACTATCACCCCGAACAACTAACTTAACTTTCCTTTTGTATATTTCACAATTTGTCATCTCTCTCAATGTTTTGCAAACTTCCTATCCTGGAGAAACAAAGTATCTTTATTTTGAACCTACTCATTTGAAAAATCAACTCCAGATTTAAATACATAGGTAGATTTAGTTATAACATTTCAACATAAATAACTATAACTGATGTTCTTGTTCAGCTTTTAGAGTGAGCAATGTAACATATGAATGTGTGTTCTCAATATTGCCACTTCCAGCTCAAGGGGGGAGGGGGAAGGAAGTGTAACAAGATACAGGGTCTTTTATAAATAATTCATTTGAGATGCGAAATCACGTACATTCTTTCACCCCGGCTCCATAAACCTTGGTAGGAAGAGACTTTGCTTTACTCAGGAAATTTCTTGCTTTGAAAATGAAACCACATTCAGACTCCAGGGTAGCTGTTAATTAAAAAGTCAGGATTATAGGATTGTTATGGCCTATATTTTGTTCCATTTGGATAAAAATCCATGTTAACTGGAGAATGAAATGCAATTAAATGTCAGTCACATTAATGTGCACTGCTGTACAGAAAGATAATAGAACCAAGATAATTTTCTTCCATATCAGTAATTTAATTGTAACATTTGTTTAAGAGAACATCAGGCCTACACAGGTAGAATTTAACACATAGAACAACATGCAACTTAATTCATCTGTCATTCTTATTTTATCAACTAACTTTTGAAAATAGAGCTTTTCCACTTGAGAATAATGTTTCATTAGCAAAGTTTTTGTTTGAAACTTGTTTTCTCCATATGGATTGGATTTGAGGCTGATCTTAAAGAAGCGGCAGCTGATCCTACTTATTCCACATTGTGATACCATCCCCCGCATTCCTTCATTCCTCCCACTGACCATCAGCTCAGTTGTATCTTCCACAATGTTCCTGATCATTCTCAAAGCATGTTTTCTATCAGATCCTCATTTCAGCCATCTGTCCAAATTAGTTTATGCTTCTGTTAAATATGAAAAAACTAGTGTTTCCTGGGGAACGGCTGACACTTTGACACATTCACAAACAAAAACAGTCTTATACATCGTTTAAATCCTATTCACTTTAACTGCATCTTCTCATCTGAACACTACTCAGTTTTCTATTCATGCATCAGAAGTAGTTAGAGATTGTTATCAAAAATACTGAAGTTCAACATTGCTCCATTGCACTGACGTACAGCCCAATGCGCAATAAAAAAATGTTTTCCCTCAATGCAGCACAAGAATTAGGACATCAGAGTTAGGCAACTTCATTCAATATATGGAATTCTGATTTTCTTTTGTTGGAAGTGGAAAAATAGCAGCAATCACTGATTAAATATGTAATGGGAGCATTAACTTCTGGTTACACCTTACATGCCTAAATTAATTTGCCTCATCTTACACAACCCCTGGCCACTGTTTCACTCAAAGGCAACAATAATCCCATTGACACTAAATTATCATATCACAATAATAAAAATGAAACATTTCTTGTTTCTATTGTTACTGTACATACCAATATTCTGAATTATCAAATTCTGTACAATTTCCAATAGATGTCAGGATTTGGAACAATTCAGTGCAAATACTTCATATGCTTCACACAGCATGTACCTGGGAATGTAATAATGCTCAGTCGTGAGGATAGCTGTTCCTTAGACTGTGTTTTTCTCCTTAGTCTGTATTTTGTGGGCGTGATGGGTACTATATCAAATGCAAAGATTACTATTATTAGTGTTATCTGCAAAACTATCTTAAGCTTTTTAAAAAACAGAAATGATGTCAGAGTGTATACACACACACACACTTCAGTCAGTACAAACACAGGTTCATAGAAAAAAAGCAGTTTTATTAAGGAAAATGGAGTACATGAAACTCTTAAGATTTGATTCTCAAAATCATTTATTTACTATAATACACTGCAGATGATGTCAAAATCTTAAGAGTTTTCACACCAGTCCCACTGAGGCAGATTACAACATTTAGCAAACAAATTTGTTTTCATACATAATCACCACCCAAACCTACACAAAACGTATACTAGCAGCAGAATGTGTACCAAATGATTAACAATTCTCTTAAAGGAAAAATAGTATTTTGACAAAATCATGAAATAAATGCAAACGTTAACAGAAAGTTTACGAATTGAAGCACAATCAATGCTATTCATACAGCCAGCTTCCCCCATCAAGCACTGAGTACATCTACCATCCAGCTCACCAAATTATTTTACAGTAATTTTCAGCCAAACTACAGCGCTTAAAAAAATCTACTGAAAGCAGCATCATTTTACAGCAAAATGGGTACCGGCATTAAAAGAAAAATTTGAAAACTTTTAAAAATAAAATGGTGCCACATACATGGATTAGCACAAAAAAAACTAAAAGAATAACCTAAATAAATGTTAGTTCAAGATACCACAGAAGTAACATGATTACAAGCTTTACATAATCATACATAAATTGTTAAGTGTGTAATTGTCAATACCCAAAATATTTATTGCTATGTCAGCAATATTTCAGTCATAAACAAATTACTTGTTAGTGTAACATTAAAATGAGTTAACAGAAACAAGTTGTACTTATAGCCATTTAATACACCATCTTTATTGCAAACACAGGTGAAAGCAGTACAGCTGTCGAACATGGAAAGATTTACAATCTTTTAAGAAAAAAATGACATCTTTCCAATACACCCAACATTCTCCCCCTTCTGCCAAAGAGGAAACAATATCTAAAAATGTATTAGGATAAGTTACAAGACCAACCAGGAATTAAACACATGCATTATTTTTCCAACAATTAACGTTACTATAAAATGCCTACATTTTATCCTTTAATTAAATGAAACAAATGCAATAAGACATATAGGATAAAACTTGGAATTTTTAAGATCAGTTTTGTTTCATGAGCTGATCCCTATTGTGCTGTTGGTCATTAAAATTAGTGGATTCTTCCCCCAAAATAAACAGGACTACCACAGGTCTAATACCAGTAAAGAGAAGGTGCAATAGAAATCAACAGTCTATGACAGTGCACCTGGCATTTTATTCAAAACCACATTTTCAGAAGCAGTGCAAATGTTGGGAGGCTGCTATATTGACAGCATATTCATCTCCCCATCCACGCAAACGTATGTCAGGACACAAAACACAATGACTCCCAAAACAGCACAAAATAAAAGGTCAAATCCAGTCAAACAGGTTGTGAGTTCTTATACATTTTATCGTTGGTTGAGAAATATAGTTGACTCCATTTTGTACAATTTAGTTTATAGATAAACTGTTATTCACAACTGTCAAAAAGGGCTCTGAAGAAAACCACAAAAAAACCACAGAAATTGTCAAGATTGCTTTCATGCAGTAGGTGGAATGTATTTATTGCAGCCAGTTTTATTTATTTTTTTAACATAGTAATTTAAAAAAAATCCATTAACACCCACACTTACAAATGTCTCCTTTGGAAAATGATCAGGAAAGGAATGCTAAGTTGTTTGAAATTAACGTTGCTATTAAAGTTTGCAAATGCCTCGCCTTTATAGGGTCTTCCATACCTTAGCAACTGTCTGCAACTTGGGTCAATTCTTCTTATAATGAGGTCAGTTCCTACTCAATGTTCATATGATACCAAGTTATCTGTCTGCATCTGTGGTTGGAACTGTTGAGATGTCGGCGGAGGCAGTAATGGTAGCAGTGGTAATAATGGTTCTACCAATTGTCCTGTGCTAGGCGCCCCAGAGGGCATAGCCATTTCTACAATCTCTCCATTGTAAAAGAAGAAATGGCATTGCTGAATGAATGTCTCAATGATAGACTGATTGACTGTGGTGGTGGTAAGAGCATCTCGGTTTTCAAAGTCTGGCCTCATGAGGGTAGGCCAGAAGCAAATGGAGAGATTATCTGCAGTCATACGATTTGTTTTGCTTTGCTGACTAACCCTGTAATAAAATGCATAACATGTGAGAAAAAATGTTTTGTTCCCAATTATACATTTGAACTTGTTCTCATTATTCACATGTTTCTACCTGGATTATAATGGCTTCAAAACCCAAGGTATCATAATTGAAAATTCAGCTTCACAGCTATGGTTTTGGATTGCCATCAGAACACAAATTGTATTCTGTAATAATCAATACTTTAGTTCATACCAATTTTTTTTCATTGTATAACTAAAAATGCAAAAACATGCAAATGCTATCACTCTACACAAAGTATTACTTTGTATACAAAACTGGACATTCATTAATACTGTAATTTAGGACACCAGATACAGGAAAATAGTTAACCTAGAAAAAGATAGTAAGTGTCTTATTTTCTACAATTAGAATTCATTACAACAGACCATCATCAGCTTGCTTTAGGCATTTTTTATTTTTTAGAAATGAGCTCTAAATGGATTATGAAGAGGGGGATCTTAACAGTAAATCACAGATGTTTCTAAACCATAAGCAAGACAAGATAATTTCCTGTGAATATGAAGATCAAACGACAGACTGGGTTTGCACAAAATGGAATTGAGGTGCCTCCAATTGTTCTGCAGAAGTGTTTAAATGATGGTTAACACTGAAAAAGCACCTCTGGACAATGTGATACATTAGCATTGAAGCACACACCTGTCTTGAAACTACTCCCACGATCCATTTGTACAAAGTACAAAATAAAAAGTTTGCACGTGGAATGCTTGTGCATACAAATCAATTCACATTACAGTATATTGAAACGCTTTGAGATGCCTGACATGATAAAGCGCTATATCAGATGAAAGGATTAATTTTAACTATTATACTTTTTTGAGAACTAATGTGAGGACAATTTGTACCATTAAAATTATTCCTCATCGAACATTATTTGTTGCACATCCATTTCAGTAAAGTAAAAATTGTAAAATTACTTCAGCACAAAATGATATATACAATGGACTTGATTTTTTATGGTTAGATGGCCACAAATGGCGATGTAACAAATGTCAAATTTGTTCTTTATCAGGTGAACTCAGTGATGATCTTAATGGGAGGAGAGAAGACGAAAAAACTACAATTGCCTCAGGTGCTGGCACAACAAATATCAGTCTGATTTTCTTTTCTTATTAACTATCCAACTATTTTCCTCCACCTTGCATCCTGAAAACTGCTTGCTTTTGAATGCCAAGGGAGAACGAGGCAGTGTTAGTTGTGATTAAGTCTCTCTCCCTCAGTTCAAAAGCCATTCAATAATCTAAGATCACATATGAAGATTGGGCACAATTTACCAATTATAAGAGGGGGGGGGGGAGGGAGAGAAAAGAAACTGAGGCAAAAATAATTTTTAATCTCAACCGGCCTCCTGAGAGGCATCAGTGAAGGCTGGATTTCTGAAAGACACAATTTGGCACCCAGAGTTGAATCTGGGTTGACGTGCCGAAATATGACGTTTTGAAACTCAGCACTCCCCAAGGCTGAGCAGCAAATTTTCATGCTCCAGTGCTCTGGTCTCAAATAGCACAACTATGGGTTGCTGCAATTGAAAGACCAGCCATTGCAAAAAAAAATATTTATTTTTCAAAATTAAATATAGTTTGGCAGAATGTTAAGGAGGTGGCCAAGCTCTACCCATTTTTTCAATGTTTGAACATTTTTACCCATTCTAAACAAGCTTAACTTGATGCATGCACATTTAACTGGGAGAATGGAACAGGTCACCCTCCAGTTCTCAGGCTTATGCCTGTAATATCAGCAATTTGAGGCAAATTTGCCTGTGGTTGAACAGTCAAATTACTATGGGATTTAGCAGCAATTATCACTTTTAAGTCAAATCAGATAGTGGCACAGTTGATGAAGATTCCTGTAAAATCAGTTTGACAGACAGATCATTGGATCAAACTCAAGGGCAAATGTTTCTTGTCAGCAGAAATTAACTGTGAATGAATAGTGAAGACACTGGTCTGATTTGTAAGTCATTTGGACCGGATTCAGTAATACGTTTAATGCAAGCTATAAATTCAGGAGCAAGCCATGGATCCCTATCTTACGAGTGCAAAACTCTCACTCCCACACTCTACAAGTATTCAATGTACATGTATTCAGTTCTTTTCTATTACATTTCTGTTGCGGTTTTAAAGACTATTCTTTTGGATGGAACTGCAGTGTGGTGAGCAAACTATGTGTTGGTGATTCATCTGCCATTATAAGGGATGCACAATGGTTCTTTGTGATGGCAAGATCCTCGTAGGGGATAACAGAGTTTTTTTTTAAAAAATCAGATGACTTGGAAGCTGAAGCAACATAACAGTTAGAATGCTGACACACAGCTTCAGTTGCAACTTCTCATTCTCTCCAAAGGTGAGAGCACAAAGGTGACATCCATCTACAATATTTTGTATCACACACGCATACAAGAGAAAATGCTTATTCTGCTGATAATACTTCAAAGCAAGTGGAATAAATCATCGTATTCGACCTGCAATTCTAGCAATTATTGCATGAAACATGCAGATGCTTTTGGAGCACATTTTTCAGAAACATGCACAATATTCAATGTATTTAAACTGTGTATCCATCGTTGTTTTTTTTATGTGTAGAATTGCAGAAGGAAGAGCATTAATCTCGCATTTGCAAATGTTTGTAATCCTTTAATTTTTCTTCAAGTCTAATAGCCTTAGGCTTATTATTCGTACTGTACCTCAGAACTATCTGTGTGTCCATACTTTACACAGTGAACATATGAAACAGACCACTCAAGGAGACGGTGGAGGTAGGCAGTGTCAGTAATTGTAAAGGAAATTAGAAACTGGTTTGGTGAAGGAGGTAGCAGATAGATTACTGTAGGTTTATTCTCTTTTTTAAAAATTTCTGCAGGTCTGCCTTAGGATCGGACAGATTGACTACAATGACCATTTCCGATCCCGTACATTCCAATGTTCGTACAGGCGTAAGATTCCTCAAAACATACAGAAGAAAAGCACATTATCTGCATTTCTTTTCCTGGAGAGAAGGAGGGACAGAAAAGCTGGATTTTGATTTAGAAATCAGTTGCACGGTGTTTAAACCTCATATCCCCAGGGGAATAATTCAAGTAACTTATGTATTAACATCTTAAAGGGATACTGCATCTATGATTTCCCACTTTTAAAGACTGGATTAATATTTTTTAGGTAGAATGGAATTCATAATGAAGCTCTTACAGATGCAATTCACCATAAGTATCCACAGATTATTATGCTTGATTGACAGCTTGGATATCACCCAATACAAAAATGCACAGCAATTTTAAAATCAGGATTACAAATTAAACCACCTCCAACAATGGCATTTGATTCTAACTGGCAAAGCCACAAAGCTTGAATACCTTTAAAACTACACAATGCAAGAATTATTATTACACAATAAATGTATTTTTAGAAAGCTTCCAACCTACCTATTTAAATGAGTAATAATGTATTTGAAAACATCATAGTTTTCCACAGGAAACTTCTTCACCAAATCCTGAAGAACATTCAGCTTTTCTGACCTGTTGGGATATTCTGAGAGACAGAAAGAAAACAATTACTATCAACTGTACTCTTATTACCTTACTGCATTGCATGTTTGTCATTTAACAGCAGTTGCTATTTGTAGATTATACTGATAAACACAATGACATTTCCATTTGTCTCAGAATAACTGGTCGTAAGTGTTATCAGTACAGTTAAAGCATGCACTTATGTTACATGAATATGACCAACGTGTTCCTTGATATCTATTTTTTGCAGTGCCTTCAGTGTTTGAACAATATTTTCTGAACTTAGGAGAAGTAAGTCCCACAAGCCAATGGGAACAATATCCCTTCAAACCACTGGAAAAATCAAACCTGTGACCCCCTTTCCCTCGACTTATTTAACATCACTACTTTGTCCATTCACTTGCCTGGAGAAGCAAACAGCAAAGTGAAATTTCAATTTGATCGATTTACCAATCAAGAAAGGAAGGGCGGTATAAGTTGTTGTATTTAAATCGTTTCTAACTAGTATATTTCACTTACATTTCTTCTTCTGTTTCTGCTTCTATTCTGCAAGTGGGCATAATTAGTTTTAAATTGCTTTTTCTGGGCCTGAAACACATTTACAAATGCACCAGACACATTTGGGTCAACCTCTGAGAATCAACTGAACTCAGAGCAACTTAGTCACAACACTGAGAATTTTGTTCAGCAAAAAATACCAAGAAAATATCAAGGGCCTGGGATCTTTCTGTGGATATTCTAGAATATAAAATGTATTACCGAGTAATTCCAAATTGGAATTGATTTTAATAAATGATAATTGTTTGCAATACAGTACATACAGACCATATAGGCATTCTTAATGGCAGAAATGCAAGAATACAATACAAAATTATATTTATAAAGCGCCTTTCACATAAGGAGGACATCCCAAAGTGCTGAACAGTGAGGGATGAGGACTCGAGGGGGGTTGAGGGGAGGGGGTGGGGGAGGTCGGGGGGTAAGAAGGTGGCCGAAAGCTCAGTTGACGTTCTCAAATATCTGTTTTCATGTCTGTCTACATCCAAATATCTGCCAGGCAGAAAGGTCCACATTGTGCACGGTACCAAACCCAACTTCTGTTGGAATGGAAAATCTAAATGTATTTGTAACTACAATGAATTCTAGTTGTGATTCTATTGCCTGGGCCCAATATAACAAGGCTGCATTGTAAGTGAGGAATGAGAAAATGTCCAACTTCTAGGTCTATACGGCATTGCACATAAGAATTTACATCAGCAGCAACCTGCAGAATTGCAGCCGCTATTTCCAGCTTGTTTGTTGGTGCTGCAAGCTGGGTGCACTGTGCTTCCGGTTAGTGCAGGTCCAGGGTAGACCCCTGTTATTGGCGAGACGAGTGTTATTTTAAATCATGCTAAAGCAGGGTTCTTCTGTATTAACTGTAGTAGTGCTCATTCGAGAACATAATAACATTAATATTCAGGTTGAGAGAATGTATCTACATAAATGTACTGAAGAAAGAATCAAAACTGGTTACTGTGTTACTTACTCGCTGCTTCCACCAGCTCGGAATGTAGATTGTAAGGGATAAGCGGATCCGGCAGGTCAGAAAAAAAAGCCTTAAGAGCTCCTGCCACTGCATTTACTGTTACATCCATTGCAACAAGATCAATGTTATGGTCTGCAACACAGAATGAAAGAATGAAAAAGTAATTGCTGCCACTGTACACGTGCCTTACTTGAGGGTAAGGAATACAAGGAATACTTGTAACCGAAATGTTTCTATAATTCTGTTACATGACGAAACATTGTAATGCACCAAAACCTTAATTGGAACTCCTAACTATACCAGATGTATCTGTCAAACCATCCTTGCTACAAGGAAACAACCATGAACAGAAAACGCACCAAATCAAATGCAAGATGCCGTACAAGCAAGTTGGAGGAAACCCTGCGGAGTTATCACTTGGAGTTTTGGAGGCAAATATACAAGACAGCATTGCAATGTTTTCATATACAAATGTGTTTTCTTACATCAACAAAATCAGCAGGTAGCCAGTTAAGTGTCAAACAGCCAAAGCTGGATACGACTCCTGTTTAAATCTAAAATCGAATTTAGATGTTGATTCTTTCTGAACTGAAACTCAGGATTTCAATTCTGCATTGACATCCTATATGTACATAATACATACACATATTNAAAAAACAGAATTATTCAATTCCATACCTGTGGCATTATACAAAAGTAACTGAGAACTAAACTCCATGTACTGGTTAGAAAAGAAAACTGGAAGTAAGCCAATGAAAACTCAAATTCCTATTTGTCACAATAAGGACTATAAATGTAGCAGTCTGATCAAATGGTCCAACAAAACTTACATGCTTGGTAGGAGAAAATTGATTATGCTGAATCTCTTGAAGTCACAATAAACCTGAAGTCTTCACATTCTAGTTTGCGATTGTAAATTAACATTAGTATTGCCAGCCTGCCTCCTCTTGTATAATGCTCACATTCTCAGTAAACACTATAACACTAAAGGGTGATATTAACTGAATTCAAAAAGGTGGTTGATCTCTATCTTCAACTTCTTGTTGAGGTCATCCTTTTTTCCCCTCTGAACAATAAAACCTGCAGAATAATTGAATTGTTTCTTCCAAAAAGGGTCTATTTATTATTGCATTATAATTTATTATTGCAGAACACTTGACTGGATCAAATAAAACAATTTCTGAAGTAGCCTGAGGCTGCTTATGTTACCATGCAAATCACTGCAGATATACAAAATGCCAAATCCCACCACACAGCAATCTCTAAATCACAATTTAATTTTCTGACTGAGTTTTGCCCATTTTTGCACAGCTGACCTGAGAAACAGATTGAAATCTCACCCAAACCAACATAATGGTCTCCAGTAGACCACAAAGCGGCAGAGTGAGACGAGACATTCACCCTGCTGTGCTGCATATTGTTGCCATCAAGGGCAGCATCAAGTCTCACCTCAGAAAAACGTGGCAAGTTTCCAGAGGTAAAATTACAGCACAGCCACCAATCACAGAACCGCAATGTAATGGGAACTGAATGTTTGGAAACACTTTTCAATGTGTGCCTTTAATATAGACATGCCAATGGAGAAAAGCTGTTTTCTATGAATTATTTCAATCGCCATTTTCAATTTTTTAAATCAAATGTACATTTGTAAAGGCAGATTAGAATAAATGGAACTAAAGCCGAGTACAAAGTGCAATTGTGTCATGTCCAGTTATACACCACCTCAGCATAGAATTCTGCCCGCTGTTTACATTTCTGCATTTTTCTGCCACAGTGTAGAAATATATTGGTATTCAAACTTTAAATTATTTTACTCCTAACAATAACATATTCAAATTCAAGCAGCAAAGTGCATTTATGTGAACATTAACACCAATTAAAGTATCAATGTCTTCATTAGCTCAGCTGCCTCCATCAGGAAAGGTTACACCAAGACCTTGTGTCATATTACATTTATTCTCTTTGACTGACCTGCGTTAGGTGTTCCTACACAGTTGGGTTAATCAATAAGCAGATACAGCAAATCCAACAGAATACAATTAAATGGAACAGCCCACAATAGATAAAAGTTCAATGTTAATGTTTCCTTTACCAGTACTAATCAGCAGTCAGTTTAGCATTGTATTACTGTACTACAATGTACAGAATAAAACTTTATGCAGAAGCAACACAATACACTTCTCTCTGTAAAAGGGTTCTCATTTCATTAATGTAATCCTTATGTCATAATGATCGAGGACCTGGATGTCAGAGTGAGCTGACTGACCTTTTCTCATTCTTAATCTACTTGCAAATTAGAACTGCACAATTGTTCTCATTTTAACGAGACCTGTAAAGTTAGTAGGCAGGCTGGCTGTACCAATAATTGCAAGAATACATCACTTGCCTTGATGAAATTTGATAGCTGTCAACAAGAAATGCCAGTAAAGTGAAGGTCAGGCAACTGGGAGACTTAAAATATACAACCACACTTCACTAAAATAGAAATCGGAAATTCTGGTGGGGTAATAGATTTTAAAATTGAAATACTTAACAAAAATGAGTATAATTAGATAAACAATAAAATAGCCTTTACAATAGCCTAGCATTCAAGAATAATTTTATGGAAACCAAATGGCTATGCTTTTGGGTACACAAAAGTTGGCACAGGCAATTTCCTACAAGAGAGTTCTCAATCTTAGCTATATTGTTGAGAAGGCACAGAAAAAGACTATTAAATATTACCTTGATCAAATTGCCTTTGAATGTTGTCTTGATCAGTCTTGTTTCCACTCACACGATATAATCCTTCACTGTTCAAACCTATTATGAACATAAAATTGCATTACTAAATGGAAAAGTAAATTGGTTTAGAACTTAAAATTCTCTGGACTGATCCCATTATTTTGGATAAAATCCCCATCATAAAATATTCCAAATAATTGAAAAACAATCAGGTATTCTGAGAAAATGCCATTGCAGTGAAAATTTTGCAGTGTAAAATGTGCGCCACCATTTTACAAATTAGAGTTGAAACTAAAATGTCACTATATGCTCCTAGCAACATGGGAGTTGATAGCAGAAATCAACTTTTCCTAGGAAGAAAGAGAAACAAACAGTAGAACCAGGAGGGAAACTCATTATATTGCTATTCAAAAGTTTTTTAAAAAAATGAAAATTGCACAGAAAAACAGTTCTGGCCATGTTGGTCATACGTCAACACGTTTTTCCAGCTTTGCTGGGCCCAAAAAATTCTTCTGCGTTTTATGAGATATTGTTATTGGAAATTATGCATTTTATTAAACCGAAATTTTTCAAAAATGCCGGTTGGTACCAGCATTGTAATTTTTTGAATCCCGCAAGTAGAAGTGCATGAATAACTTATCTTCTGCTGACTAGATTCAAACTATCTGAGCCAAAGTTGGTATCCCTAGCCACTGAAGGCCAGCAAGGACAGTGAGGCTGCTCAGCTCAGTGATGGTACGCACGAGGAGAGTTAGGAGTTGGGTGTCCATGGAATGCCAGAATGGCACCTCCAACAATGCATCATTTTCAATCAGTTTGGAGAGAACTTTAGGCCATATAAACAAACTGTGCTCCTTGGATTGCTTTACTGATCTTGGATTGCATTATTAATGGCACAAACAAGAGATTTCCTTCCAGTTCCAATATCACAAGACAAGATCAAAATTTGCAAAAAAAAGTCTTATTTATAATAACAATAATAATAATCCTTGCACTTGATATTGCACTTTTCACATCTTCTAGATGTCTCAAAGTGCTTCACAGAACAGACTGTAAAGTGAATTGATTGTATATTTGTGGGCGAAATGCGGCAGCCAATTGCGCACAGGGGTGTCCAACAAACAATTGTGGATTGAAATGATCAATTTATTATTGGTTTTTTTAGGGATTATTATCAGGCATGTGGAGTAAGGAAACTTGCCCAAGGTTTCACCCTGCCGGGAATCGAACCCAGGTCTCTCGCTTGCAAAGCGAGTGCTCTAACCACTGAGCTACACAGGACTTCATGTAGTTGAGCATGAAGGAAAGAAAGCTCAAGTCACTTGATCTTATTGAGTTAGAAAATGGTAATAGCTAGTCTACTGTACTGAACAACAATTTCCAGGAGAAGATTTAAGAATGGATCTAAAAACAAGAAGCTAGCATGTAAAAGACTGGAAACAATGTCCAGGAAAAATACAACAGTAGACAATGGCTATTTAAAATTATATTAAGCGCAGTCATGGCATTTGTTGATTTACAGTAGATGTCACAAACTAAATTGGTCAGTGACACCAAACTCTCTTGAGCTTGGAAAAACAAAACTGTATCAAATCTGATTTATGCTATGAAAACAGTCACTGTGTGATACTCCAGAAATATTTTCAGTATTTGTAAACTACTACAGAGCGATATGATGCACAGTAACATATTTACTTGAGATATGGTAACATTATTGCTATAAGTACTTTTGCCATGCACTCATCAACATTTCACCGTAGCGCAACCTGAATTAAATCTAATAAATTCACAAAATTATTCAATACTTTAAACACCTCTCAAGAACAAACAAAACATGATCTCAGTAAATGCTGACCAGGTAGGGCTTCAACATCCATTCAAAATAAATCAGTTGAGTTCTGCATAAATATATTGTGGCAATGCTCAATCGAGAACTCGCTCAGTATATATAATAGCCCCCAGACATGATTTAAATAACTACACTATAAATTCACCAGCCAGCAGTGCAACAAATGTGGTATTGGTCTGAGTGACCTAGAAAAACAAGTGGGATCGCTTTTCAAATCAAACAGGACATGGTCAAGGATAGACATCTGTTAGTACGGATGGTGGTGTTCCTAAATTAGTATGTTGAGATGGGAGTTATGACTGTATAGGAAGCAACACATCAATGCCTGAAACTAACTAAGAAATAGGTTTGCATGATATCACGTTAAAAGCTTTGACACAATACAGCCAGGCATTTCTAAAAATAACCAGCTCTTTTCCTTTGACAAAGAGATGCACAAGAAACCCTGGAGAGGATTTTCCTGCCTATCTTCACACCCCATGGGGACTCCCACTCTGCATCTCTCCACAGCGACGAGGTTGAGACCAGGAACTAATCCGAAAGAGGAAACAAACCTGTGCATATCGGCTCCTTTGAAAGTGCTGTGCTGCTGAGCAATTATTTCTCAGTACAATAAACTCAAACTGCTTATTAAATTATACACAAACCTAGTTTAGCAGTTCTGCAATATTTCCTGTACTAGGAATTAATTGCCATAAATCCCTAATAAAGTTAAAAGCTTAAATTTTGGGGCAATTTATAGAATAAGATATTTACCAAATCATCTCTCAAAAACAATCAGAATTAATTCAAACACTGCAATAGATTCGTGAATATACATACAAACCACAATTTTTCTATTAAAATTATGGAAGTGCAAAACTATTTTCAAAACTAGTTATTGTTCATAACCCTAAGACAATTCTAAATTCTACAGCAGAAACTCAGCAAATCACCAAGATATAAAACCATATTTTTTTTTAAAAAATGTTTTGCATTCTTCTCATTTAGCAGAAGGTAGCTGTAATTTTTAACTCTCTCAGGACAACTTGAAAGTATGTCTTAATTTCCTTATATAAGCAACTCTGACCACACCAGACTGCTTTACGTTCAATTGTCAAATTAGAGGTGAATTTAGGCTGAAGACTAGAATTCCTGTTAAGACTGTCCATACATACTAAAGACTATTAAACAACTGTTGAAGATTTCTAGTACATCTGTCTGGGTAACAGTAGTGTAGTAATTGAAAGTATATTGCTCTTTTGTTGAGTAAATTCCCTCCTTTCCATCCCCTCACTATTTCCCCCTTTGCTCGGGTCCTGACCCAACTGTCCAGCGCCTTGGGACGTCCTCCCGACATGAAAGGAGCTCTATAAATGGAATCTTGTTGTTGTTGTAAATGTCCACCCAAATGTAAGGGGTAGGGTGCCATTATTGGAAATTGGAAATTATTTCTAATTTCTGCCATTCAATGTTAGCCTTAAGCATATTCAAATCAAACAAAGCATTGTAAGATGCAGATCAAAGTACCCTGTGCTCTGTTCTCAATAATCTGCCTCAGTACAAAACTTAGAAATGTTGAGAACCATTTCTTCTTCCCACACCAGTTGTTGTATGAACTCCGAGAATAGATTATTGCTGAATTGAGATCAGTTATGTGATTCGACATAAACTAGGAAAGCAGGTTCAGATATCGGCATTTCATAGTGGATCTTTGAAGCCTAAAGGCAAACAAGAAAAGCCCTTCAAAGCCATCCGTCTGAGATGAATAACCACTGTGGTAAACCACTTTCAACCACTCAGTCATCAGTAATATTATCATCCAATAATTTTTAACAGCACTGGTAGGCATAGGTTGGCTGCTACGATTCATTATACAATTTGTCAAAAGCCCTGCAAACTCATCTTGATAGTTTGTATTCCACTTGTATAGAGGCCTAAAAGCAGACCAGCAGCCTGTTTCCTTGTGTTTTGGTGCTGACGTAAGGAATTTAAAAATGAATCACGATATAAAGTGAATGGTTTACTGACCAACCACAGAGATCTCAGAGATTAAATAGTAATTTAGAGGCAAAAGACATGCATATGCTGGAAATCAAACCGAACAATATGCTGGCAATACACAGCAGTCAAATCAGCATTTGAAAAGGTAAGACAAGGTAATATTTGGGTGGGACTCTTAACAGAACTGAGCAGGTTTGATAGATGTCACATGATTTCTATCACTCCATTATAACACTGTCCTTAAAATATCCAGCATGCTTGAAATATTTTAACAAGTTAAAACTAAATTATTAAATAACTTCCCAGTGCAGTACATCTGAGGTAGCATCAGATAACCAAGGTCATTTCACCATGGGTGATATTGAACAATTGCAGACATGAATGCTGTTTGGAGATTTTACTATTAGATAGTCAAGTCTTCATTCTATTACCAATTAGATGATTACATAAATATGGATTATCACCAGAATGATACCATTAGTAATTCAGCTGGCAATAAAGGCTGCCACACAATTATACAACTTGATTGCACAACAACCCCCACAAAACTAACACAGAATTTTCAGGGGTACAAAAGGGCTCCATCAGGTTATAACCAAAAAGTATCATGAGTAAAAACTATCCCCATTATTCAGATGCAGAAATCTTAAGTCTTTGTCAAATACAAAGTATGAAAGTGGTATCTACTTTTAAAATGTATAACAGATTTTTGTCAATCTTCTGGCCACATTTGAAAAATTACGGGCCCAAAAATACCTGTGTGCATACATGCTAGTGAGGTTGCAATAAAACTCCAAAGCATTACTTACAAAATCCTATCACAGGAAAAACAAGCAACTCTGTGTCAAGGCTGTTTTCTGGCTACAATTTTAAACAATAGGCACCAAAGTGGATTATAAATCATGACAGCAAATGGTGAGAATCACCCAGGATTTTGCTTCAAGACAGGTTTCCTTTTTGCTGCACTTTGTTTTTGCCTTGCATGACTTGTCTCGGAAGTACATTAATGGACATTAAATGTATGAGTTCTGTTCAGCCATCAGGCAGTACTTAATATTGCCAACACAAGCAAATTAAGAATTTTAAAAACTGCAATGTATAATAGCTAAAATTTTTAGCATGTACTGACTGATCTGATATGGCCAGTCTAAAAACAAAATGGAATAATAAAAAGGAGCTTTCCAAGATCCCCCAGATATTTTAATTTTTAAACATTGTTGTCTTTTTTTCAAAAGTGTGATCTATT